CATTGTACCTACCCAAGAATGAGCTTGCATATCCTCTCGATGTCTGTGGGTGATCTAAATGAAGTGAAATGGCTGATTGACTCCGACCGTTGCCAATGACAGGCGCCGGCAAAAAGCCCTGCCCAATCGGTAGCACCCGACAGGCAAAGTTCAGATGCCCTAGCAAGGCCTGTAACTGCCGGAGCTGCAACTTTTTCACTCCTTGTACCGAATCCACCAGCCGCAGAAGGTGAGTCATTTTCTCATCCGGCAACTGGAATACCATAATCCGCGAGTCCACTTTGAAAAAAATCAGGAGCCCTCAACTGATCCTGCCAATCTTTAAGAAACCCCCAACCTTAGCAACATTGTAACAGGGCGCCATGAAGCAGGGGGCGCCATGCGGCCGCACAGCTCACACATGGCCGGCCAGGATAAATTTGCGGTGGGGGCGGGACTTACAGTGCGGCGGGGCTTACCGTGCAGTGGGGCGGAGCTAAAGTGCCGTGTAACTGCTGCAGGGGAAGCAGGAAGGAGTCCCTGCTTCCCCCAACAACCAGAATCCAGGAGCTGCACTGCCTGTCTGCCTCCACACGGAACAGAGGTAACTGTGTGTGACTGTCTGCCTGTGTGTAACTGTCTGTGTGTGTGACTGTCTCTGTGTGTGTGGCTGTCTGTGTTTGACTGTCTGCCTGTGTGTATGATTGTCTGCCTGTGTGTGTGACTGTCTGCCTGTGTGTGTGTGTGTGTGACTGTCTGCCCTTTTTTGTGTGTGGGTGTGTGACTGTGTGTTTGACTGTCTGCCTGTTTGTGTTACTGTCTGCCTGTGTGTGTGACTGTCTGTGTGTGAGACTATCTGTCTGTGTGTGTGTGTGTGTGTGTGTGTGACTGTCTGCCTGTGTGTGTGTGCCTGCCTGTGTGTGTGACTGCATATGTGTGACTGTCTGGGCAGACTAGATGGGCCGAATGGTTCTTATCTGCCGTTACAGTCTATGTTTCTATGTCTGCCTGTGTGTGTGTGGCTGTCTGCGTGTGTGTGTGTTTGTGTGTGGCTGTCTGCCTGTGTGTTTGTGTGTGGCTCTCTGCCTGTGTGTTTGTGTGTGGATCTCTGCCTGTGTGTTTGTGTGTGGCTCTCTGCCTGTATGTGTATTTGTGTGTGACTGTCTGCATGTGTGTTTGTGTGTGACTGTCTGGGCAGACTAGATGGGCCAAATGGTTCTTATCTGCCTTCACATTCTATGTTTCTATGTCTGTGTGTGCGTGTGGCTGTCTGCGTGTGGCTGTCTGCGTGTGTGACAGGGTGTGTGGGAAGGGAGGAAAAGGGGGGCACTGAAGATTTTTCGCAGAGGGCGCCCAAAGGCCTAAGGTCGGCCCTGGGCGTAGGAGCAGGTACAACAACGATGCCCACTCTTTTAGTAATGGGTAACATACATCTCTCACTACATTACTTACCCCATTCCAATATTTCCCCTTAGCCAAGTCAATATGAGGATTATGCTTAACAAGCCATGGGAATCCTAGTATAATGGGACAAGAAGGGGAAGCAATTATCAGAAATGTAATAATTTCTTTATGTAACGCTCCTATAGTAACAGTAATAAGCATAGTTTCGTGGGTAATTGGAGGTTGAGAGAGAGGTCTCCCATCAATGGCCTCGACGGCCAGGGGTGATGATCTCTCCTTGATGGGTAGGAGGTGTTTACTGACAAATTGTATGTTGATAAAGTTTCCTGCAGCACCATCAGGGTCCATCAGGGCTTTACATGAAACACTTTTCTTGTTGCATAGAGCAGAAATATTAGGGAGAAATCTACTTTGGGTAGTACCAGGGGACATATCCATCACACCTAAGACCGGTCCCCTTATGGTTCTTAGGTGCGCAAGTTGTCTGGACGTATGGGACAAGCGTTTCTCATATGTCCTTTCTTGCCACAGTATAAGCAAAGGCTTATAAAGGCTTCTTGCGACAGTATAAGCAAAGGCCCTCTTTTCTCTTAAGCTGTCTTTCTGCCTCTGACAGTCTCATAACCCCTAACTGCATAGGTTCAGTTTCTGTCACGTACCCTTCGTCTCCATGTGACAAACACGGAGATAATTACCCCTCTAAGACTAAGAGGAGTGCCACTCAGCAGCCCTCTGCCATGATGCCTGGCATTTGCCACATGTCGGTGGACGCCGGCCACTGTGGATCCACTCTTTTATATAGCCCCACGTCCGTCCACAATCGTGTGTTTCTGGTTTTTGACTTTGGCTTCGTTTTGACTTCCCTGACTTCTGGTATCCTTCACCAGGGCCGCCATCAGAGGGTGACAACCGTGACTGTTGTCACGGGCCCGGCGGCCCTGGGGGGCCCGGAGTGCTCTGGCAGTCCCGGGCCCCACTTTCTTTCTCTGCACACATAGATAGCGAATATCGCTATCTATGTGTGCAGCCGCGGGCCCCCGGCAGGGCCAGATTAAGAGCCCAGTGGACCTGGTGCTGATAATTATGACGGGCCTAATTACAGAATCATATCGACCAAAAACAGTAAAACACTCCCAAGCATCATGTATCTGATGGAGATGGTGCTGGAGAGAAAGAAAACAGCAGCTATAAGAAAACACATACCCTATGCTACTCTCCCTCTAATTAATGTTTTCATCTTTCAAGTAAATCCATAACCCCTAACAGCAGTGTCCAGTCAAGCAGGAAGTCAATGAGCACGGTAAAAGGGTGTGCCACTGACACAAATCACGTAATCTGCCAAAAGGGGCGAACATGCCCAAAAAGAGGACATGTCTGCCTAAAGAATTAGAAGGCCAGCCTGGTATGAATGCATGTCAGGCTGCCTGCCAATCATGCAGCTGGCCAACTAAGGGCATACTATGCAGACAGCACCCTGAGCTTGGCATAAATGCATCTAATGATGCGCTCACTCAACGCTTTCTAAGGACTGTCCCCTAGCACTCGCTGGTCCACTTGTCTCCTTACCTTCTTACTAGCAGGCAGAAGCTCCTGGTATATAGTCTGGGACAAAGAAAAGGTGTATGTAGAGAGTGTAGAAGAAAGGGGACATGCCACAGTGTTAGAGGACAAAAGTCAGCATTACCTTAAAGGATCACTATAGGGTCAGGAACACAAACATGAATTTGTGACCCTATAGTGTTGACACCACCATCTAGCCCCCCTGGGCCCCTCATGCCTCCATAAATATAGCAAAATCTTACTGTATTCAAGCCTGAAGCTGTAACTCTGTTAGACTCTGTTAGACTCAGAAAAACAAGCAGTCTGCTGGCATCATTAGAAGTGGTGGCCTAATCCAATCACAGTGCTTCCCCATAGGATTGGTTGAGACTGACAAGGAGGCAGATCAGGGGCAGAGCCAGCATGATTCAAACACAGCCCTGGCCAATCAGCATCTCCTCATAGAGATGAATTGAATCAATGAATCTCTATGAGGAAAGTTCAGTGTCTGCATGCAGAGGGAGGAGACACTGAATGTTTGGATGCATTTTAGGCAGCCATGACCCAGGAAGGATCTCTAACAGCCATCTAAGGAGTGGCCAGTGAAGTTATCACTAGGCTGTAATGTAAACACTGCATTTTCTCTGAAAAGACAGTGTTTACAGCAAAAAGCCTGAAGGTAATGATTCTACTCACCAGAACAAATTCAATAAGCTGTAGTTGTTCTGGTGACTCTAGTGTCCCTTTAACTATATTCATTGTCAGCCAGTCCACACAAGTTTTGTTCCCATACATCCCTCTTAAGTTTCCATACTTAAGTAAGAGTATGTGAAAAGTAGTTAGGGTTGCCACCTTTCTTGGAAAAACATACCGGCCTTGCTAATTTGCATAATTAAATATGTATGGGTGACATCACATGATGTTAATCACAAGGAGTGACATAAGAGAAAATGCTGTAAAATCACCAAAAAACTACATAGTTTGATTCTGCTGTATAGCTGGACTCCTCCCAGTGGCCCCATGTCTCCCAGTGCCCCCATGTGTCGATTACTCCAGGTCTCAGTTTTCCTATGTATCAGTGTCTTAGTGCCCCATGTCTCCCAGTGTCCCCATGTATCCCAGGGTCCCCATGTCACTACGAAGACGGGAAGACCTGGGGACACGGGGAGACCTAGGGACACGGAGACACCAGTGACACTGGGAGACTAGGGGACTCTGGCTGGGATGCATGGGGACACTGGAAAATAGGGGACACTTGAAGACATGGGGACACAGACACCATGGACACAGACACTAGAGACACTGGCTGGGGGACATGGGGACATTGAGAAATGGGGGTACTGGGAGACATGGGGACAAGGAGACACCAGGGCCACAGACACTAGGGACACTAGCTTGGAGATATGGGGACATTGAGGCACTGGAAGACATGGAGGCACTAGGAGACATGGGGACAGTGAGACACTGGCAGACTGGGGGCACTGGGAGAATAGGGGGCACTGAGACACCAGGGACACTGGCTGGGAGACATGGGGACACTGTGTCCACATGTGTCTGTGTCATAATGTCTCCCAATGTCCCTTAGTGTCTCAGTGTATGTCTCCTTGCAGCCTTTCCCCATCCCTCACTTCCCTGAGCTGTAGGCTGTCTCTGCAGGGTGGGAGTTGCTGTCTGGACTTTCTGTAGCTGCACCCCTGCAGATCAGTGAGTATAGATAGGCAGGGAGGGATATGCTGGAACTTCCTATCCCTGCCTGTCTCCACACACAGCGACCCCTACTGGCCAGTGCTGGTATTGCATAGTAATCTCTTGTTTATACTGAGAAAAATACCAACATTTGTATTGCCAGTATCACTGTAATATTGGCACCAGCCAGGCAGCCTCAAATACTGGCTGTGCCAATAAAATAAAAGCCAGGTGGAATCCCTAAGAGTTGTGTGTGAAAAAAAAAAAATGTAAAAAAAAAAAATTTTTTTTTTTTTTTATAAATCAATGGGCCTATTCCATGGGCCTGGGCCTGGAGCTGCAGCTCCATCAGCCCCTATGTTAATCCGGCCCTGGCCCCCGGCTCCCTGTTACCGCAGAGGGGGCCCAGGCAGCACACTGCTTCTCCTCTTCTCTTCTTTCTTCTAATAACTCTCGCGAGACCTGGTTACCGTGGCAATGCATCGTGGGTCTCGCAAGAGTTACTAGAAGAGAGGAGAAGAGAAGAGGAGAAGCTGTGTGCTGCCTGGGCCCCCTCTGCGGTAAGAGGGAGCCGGGTGGGGGGGGCCCGCCCACCAGACCACTACGGATGGAATTTCCCCCCTCCCTGGACACAGGTAAGCAGGGAGGGGGTAGAAACATTTAATTAATTTAATAAAAAATTTATGTTAAAATGCCCCTTCCTCCCCCAGATTGCACATTTACACACACACATTGCATACACTAACACAACACACACTCTGCATACACTAAAACAACACACACACACTGCATACACTAACACAACACACACACACTGCATACACTAACACAACACACACTGCATACACTAATACAACACACACTCTGCATACACTAATACAACATACACTACACACTAACACACTCACTGCATCCACTATACTGACACACACTCTGCATTCGCTACACATTAACACACTCTGCATTCACTACACACTAACACACACTCTGCATTCACTACACTAACACACTCTGCATTCACTACACATTAACACACTGCATTCGCTACACACTAACACACACTGCATCCGCTACAAGCATAGTTTCGTGGGTAATTGGAGGTTGAGAGAGAGGTCTCCCATCAATGGCCTCGACGGCCAGGGGTGATGATCTCTCCTTGATGGGTAGGAGGTGTTTACTGACAAATTGTATGTTGATAAAGTTTCCTGCAGCACCATCAGGGTCCATCAGGGCTTTACATGAAACACTTTTCTTGTTGCATAGAGCAGAAATATTAGGGAGAAATCTACTTTGGGTAGTACCAGGGGACATATCCATCACACCTAAGACCGGTCCCCTTATGGTTCTTAGGTACGCAAGTTTTCTGGACGTATGGGACAAGCGTTTCTCATATGTCCTTTCTTGCCACAGTATAAGCAAAGGCTTATAAAGGCTTCTTGCGACAGTATAAGCAAAGGCCCTCTTTTCTCCTAAGCTGTCTTTCTGCCTCTGACAGTCTCATAACCCCTAACTGCATAGGTTCAGTTTCTGTCACGTACCCTTCGTCTCCATGTGACAAACACGGAGATGATTACCCCTCTAAGACTAAGAGGAGTGCCACTCAGCAGCCCTCTGCCATGATGCCTGGCATTTGCCACATATCGGTGGACGCCGGCCGCTGTGGATCCACTCTTTTATATAGCCCCACATCCGTCCACAATCGTGTGTTTCTGGTTTTTGACTTTGGCTTTGTTTTGACTTCCCTGACTTCTGGTATCCTTCACCAGGGCCGTGACTGTTGTCACGGGCCCGGCGGCCCTGGGGGGCCCGGAGTGCTCTGGCAGTCCCGGGCCCCACTTTCTTTCTCTGCACACATAGATAGCGAATATCGCTATCTATGTGTGCAGCCGCGGGCCCCGCTACACATTAACACACTCTGCATTCACTACACATTAACACACTCTGCATCCGCTACACTAACACACACACTCTGCATCCGCTACACTAACACACACTCTGCATCCGCTACACACTAACACACTCTCTGCATTCACTACACACTAACACACTCTCTGCATTCACTACACATTAACACATTCAGCATTCACTACACTAACACACACTCTGCATTGATTACACATTAACACACTCTGCATTCACTACAAAATTACACACACTCTGCATTCACTGCACTAACACACACACTATATTCATTACACTGACACATTCACTAAACTATGCATACACTCTGGATTCACTATACTGACACACACTCTGCATTCACTACACTAACATACACTCTGCATTAACTGTACACACAGCATCCACTACACAAACATCCTGTATTCACAGGACACACACTACACCCACCACACATTGAAACACTCTGCATTCACTATACACAGACACTGCGTCTAATACACGCACTACATCCACTAAACACATTTCATCTAGTACATACACACACTACATCCACTACATCACTGTACACACACTATATCCACTACTCAAACACACACTGCGTTCACTATACACACTGCATCCGCTACACAAACACACACTCTGCATTCACTGTACAAACAGTATCTAATACACACAAACACTACATCGATTACACATATTCTAATTCACTTCCACTACACACCACATTCAGTCCTGCATAAATGTCAGCGGACCAGGTAGGGCATGGGCGGGCCCGGGAGGGGGTGGTGGGCCCAGACCTTGTGCTTTGTCAGGGGCCCCAAAATTTCTGATGGCGGCCCTGTCCTTGACTATTGGCTTTACATTTTTGCTGTGTTTTGTTCTGTGGCCCTGACCTCGACTAGTATATTGACTATTCTCCTGTACGTTAAGTCCAGCCATTCTAAGGTCCGGTTAGACGTTACCTTTAGTCTTAGGTGTGACACTATTCTGCATGCTGGTTTAACTGTAATCCTGACATTACGACATGGCCATAGATCCTGCAGATATGTGTCAGCACATAGCAGCTTGTGAGAGAAAGCTAGAGGAGAATAATCATCGTATGGATCAATTAGCCCAAGCTTTCAATACACTACTAATACGTACGGCTCATTTACAGCCTGAGGTTCCTTCGGCAGGTACACTTCCACCTACTGTACCTACGCCTATCGAATATAGGGCACCTACTATCACCCTATCATCAGCCCCGCATTTTGAAGGTAATATTCAGGATTTTGGGGGGTTCCTTAATCAAATTGAGTACCATTTTGAAGCCTCATCTGTGTCTCTCCCCACAGATAGAGCTAAAATTGGGTACTTAATGAACCAACTACAAGGTAAAACCTTAGTTTTGGCCAATCAGTTATGGGATAGTAATAAGACTGTTGCCTCCACTGCCCTAATGCGTATCAAACAAGGGAACCGGTCTGTCTCAGAGTATGCCATAGAATTCCGCACCCTGGCTTCTAAGGTAGACTGGACCAACAACGGATTAATCACCACATTCTCAGAGGGATTATCCAAAGCTATCCTTGATGAGATTGCAGCCAAAGAACTATCAGGGAGGTTTAATGAATACATCACTTACGTGATGCAAATAGATAACCGACTAAGGAACAGGGAGATAACTAGAAATAGAACCAGATGTGTGAATATGTCACTGGCACCTCGTTTCTCTAGTACTGTTGTTTCTGGCCCCCCTGTGCAGGCTGGGGTTATGAGACTGTCAGAGGCAGAAAAACAGTTTAGGAGAAGAGAGGGCCTTTGCTTATACTGTGGCAAGAAAGAACATATGAGAAATGCCTGTCCCATACGTTTGGAAAACTGCCACACCTAAGAACCATAATGGGACAGGTCTTAGGTATGATGGAAAAGTCTCCTGGTACTACCCAAAGTAGATTTATCTTTGACATTTCTGCCCTATGTTACAATAAGAGCTTTTCATGTAAAGCCCTGATGGACTCTTGTGATGCACGAAAATTTATCGACATACAGTTTGTCAGGAAACACCTCTACCTATCAAGGAGAGATCACCACCCTTGGCCATCGAGGCCATTGTTGGGAGACCTCTCAATACAAGAAAGTGGTCAATCAATGTTGATACAAAGTACTTAGATGATATATCTGAGTTCCCATCTCTAGGTACCTAGAGGCATTATCCTTTCTTAAGCAATGTCATGCACAGTACGAAACAGAAAACACATGGCAATAAGATAAACTAATTTACCCTATAAAAAAAAATGTCTACATTAATTATGTAGTAAAGGTCCTTAAAACTCTTTCTGGCTAATGGAATGAAGTAATTCCTGCAACAATTAGCTGTCAAAGCGACAGTTGATTGATTTCTTATAATTCTTATAATTTCTGATAATATTATCCTTTACATTGATTTACAGAAAGCACACATTTATAGTTGACAAATCAGACAAAGGAAACATGATTAATTTAGAAATATGAAAATGTCCCACTGAATGTTTTTTGACTTTGCATTCTGCATTTCCAATTTTCTAATTCATAGTGTAGGAATAATGACCTCCCTGTCAGTATTACTACCAATACAAATTGTCTGTGTGCATATTGTGCATTGTGACATCACTGACATGTCTACATAGCACTGTTTATGCAGCCCTAGCCACACCTCCTTTGGCAGTGACTGACACAGCCTGCATGAAAACAAAATGGTTTCATATTCTATCAGATGCAGCTTACTTTAACCTCTTAAGGACACATGACATGTGTGACATGTCATGATTCCCTTTTATTCCAGAAGTTTGGTCCTTAAGGGGTTAAAAATCTGTATCTCCTGCTCTGTAAATTGAACTTTAATTACTACAAGAGACTCCTGCTGGGTCTAGCAAGCTATTAACAAAGCAAGAGATACAAGATTCTAAATTAAACAGAATTTGCAATAAAGGAAGGGTAAACATTAGATGTCTCTTTACAGGAAGTGTTTATGGGAACTGTGTAAGTCACATGCAGGGAGGTGTGCCTAGAGTTGCACAAACAATGTCATTTAACTCCAAAATGGCGGTGAATTGAGCAGCAAGACTGCAGGGCCACGACCTTCACACCAAAACTGCTTCATTAAGCTAAAGTTGTTTTGGGGGCTATAGTGTCACTTTAACTTTGCAATTTCGATTTATTGACCTTCTCTACAATGTGAAGTTTAGTGAATACGTTTGTGAGAGATATAGGAAACAATAAATTTTCTTGATGCATAGCCTGCATTACCTGTAAAGATTTTCCAATCTGCTTAGCCACCTTAATTTTTTACTCTCAATTTCACTAGAAAATATACAGGTTTGGTTTACTAAACTGTGATTTTGAAGTGAATTGAAAGTACAGCTAACTTAGACCTTTCATTTAAAATTCCATTTGAATTCTCACTTTAGTAAATAACCCTGCTATAATCTTCTCCAAATTTGGTAGATTTGTTAATTTGACCACAAAAAAAAAAGTATTACGCTTCATTAAATATATTGCTGTCTTTGTAAAGTGAATGCAAAACACTGAAAAATATGTTGGACATGGCACATTTTTTTCTGTGAAATATTAGCACATAAATAATTAAAAGCAGGAATTACTTGCACTGAAAGATCTTCAGACACACATAATTAAGCCA